TGTGCTGTGCAGTGTATTGCATCTCTGTCCTCTCCCACTACTTCTCTCCTTATTTGGGATGATTGGCTGGACCTGACGTGTGGAACCCCTGGAGTTGGACCTTTGGCCTAGAACTCCCAATTACACCGCCATGTTGCTCAGACCTCACCCTCAATGTGAGGAGGGGCCAAAGCCCTCTGTCCCACCCAGTTCTCCCCTGCCTGTGAAGGGGTGGAACCCATCTTCCAGCCTCAGATCCCTGACCAGCCCCACCTCCCTACCCAGGCCTGGGCTCTGTCACAGGGAAAAAGACCTGAAACTGACCTTCTGCTGTGACCATTGCCCAAAGTAGGAGCCAGAATCTGACCAGGGGAGTGAGGGGCACCCAGGGCAGCATCCCAGGTCCCTGCAGAAAGAAAGCGCAGCTCTGAGTGGTCCTGGCTCCCTGTGAGCCTGATTTCTCCTGGTGGCCACAGTGTCCCCATCACTTCCAGGGTGCTGGGGTCAGAGGGGTGGAGAGGGGTGTGGGAATGTTGGGGATGGGTGGGTGTTCTCGGGGGATGGTCATGGTGTCAGGCATCCTCATCTTGCCCATAGGGAAGGCCAGTCCCTATGGAGGCCTGTGGTCCTCGGCACGTCCATGCTATGAGTGTCCAGGAGTCCTTCTCCCCAGAAAGTGAGGACTGACTTGAAGGCTGTCTCCCTGACCTGTGGTTACAGCTTCGGCCACAGGGGGCCTGGGGGGCCTCTGGACCCTGGAGGCAGGGCCACACCAGTCTGGCCTCCACCCTCAGCCACGTGCTAGCGGAGCCCTGTCCACCCCCGCTGGTAAATGGCAGGGAGGAGGGCGGTGGTGGCCCTCAGCCCTCCTATCTGATGCCCCACGTGGTTGCCAGGGGACAGCGGCCACACTGCATCACTCAGCGTCCCTGGCACAGCCCCATGTCCTAGAGCAGGGGGTTCCCCTCCCGCTGGTCCAGGTGCCAGTCGCTTTCTACCCAAGGACTTTGTCCAGCACCTTTCAGGTTTCTCCAGAGGGTGGACTGGAGCTGCTGCCCCAGAATGCAGAACTGGGGGTGCTAGACATGGAGGTGGAGACTGAGGCCACCAAAGGGTCCCAGCAAATTTCTTAGTGTGCACTAGAGGCCCTCCTGCCCCTGGACTGTCCTCTGGCCGTGACCTTGTCATGAGATCTAGGTGCAGCCTGGGGTGTTCTGGAGAGGAAGTCCCAGTACCCCAGGAGGGCTTGCTGTGGGGGACTGGCAGTGGGGAAAGGGAAAGAGGGGTGGGTTCTTGGCTCCTGCTGGGGAGTTCAGGAGACCTGGAAGCTGGGGCACCACTGGTCACTAGGTGTGCAGGGGCCATGAGCAGGGTCTCAGAGAGGGACCCGAGACAGCAGGCTGGGGACCCTTGAGAGGTTCACAGCAGTGGCAGGGGTGGGAGGCAAGGCAAAGAGCACCTCATCTCCAAAGCCTGAAGCCTGAGGCTGGGAGGCTAACCAGGGCTAGCCCAGTCACCAATACACATTTATCTGGAGACAGCTGTTGGCTATGGCAGGGGTGGGGGCTTCACTTGGACATCTGAGCTTCCGACCCAGTGGCTATACACATGGCATCTCACCCAAGGCCTGGGTGAGAACAGAGCCCTTCTCCCTCTCCCCAACCGTCCCTTCTCTTACCTCCCCCACACTTCAGGAAATTGAAACTTAGTCCCTGGGCTCCTCCCTCTCCTCCAGCCCTCCCCCCAGACTTCAGGAAATTGAAACTCAGTCTCAGGCCCCTCCTCTCCTTCCTCTTGCCCTCCCCTCCCTGCCCAGGCTCCCACTGCTGTCCCCACCTGGACTGTACCTCCCCCTGCCTGGGGAGTCTGAGCTGCCTGGAGCTCAGCCCCAAAAGGACATTGCCTTCGGCTCAGCAGAGGGAAGGCTGAGCCACCAGGGTCTCAGACCCCAGAGCAAAATGGCTTCAACTCCTAAACCTCATGATACCCGCCCCTCAGCTGTGGGGAAAATAACCACAAATCACCATGGGGCAATAGTAGGCCCTGCACCGAGGAGGGGCCTCAGCCCTGGGGTCCTCAGCCCTGGGAGAACCGCAGTGCTTGTTAGGTACTCTTGCCTAATAAGTGGTAGAACCCTGCAGAGCCCTCAGACGTGGTTCCCTGCCAGACCCCTCTCCTGGGCCTGAGTCCCGGGTCAGCAAGGAACCCAGAGTTCTGAGAGGTGCAGGTGTGTGCCCTTCCCCTCCCCTCCCCTCTTCTCCCTCCTCTCCAGGCTCCCTCCATCTTGGGATTTCAGGAAATTGAAACTCAGCTTGGGCTCCTCCCCTTCTTCAAACTTTGGGAAATTGAAAATTTGCTACCAGGTTCTTCTCTCCTTCCCTTCTTACCCTTCCCAGCACCTCCCTCAGCTGCCAAGACCCAGCCTCCATCTCCCTATGGAGGACAACTGGACCACTCACAGGTAGCCTCAGGTCTGGGCTGCCAAGATGAAGTGAGACATAATAGAGCAACAAGTCCCCCACTCCTTTTAGATGTTAATTTTCAAGAACTGGGAGACTTCAGGGGTCATTTGCACCTGCTTCTCCTTTTAGATGCTAAGTACCTGCAAACTCTGAATAGGTGGAGGCAAAGTCGGGTATCAACCATCCCAGTGTTTTGGGTTAAGCTGGTCCACTTGTCACTGTTGTAGAGTAACAAGCTGCCGGCGGCCGTGTTTTGCCTAACAGGTCCTCCCTAAGTCTATTGTCTCTGTTAGGGGTTGCTAGATGGCAAGCCCCCAGTAGGTACCTAGCTCAGCTCAGAAAATCTAAAACCCTTATCAAAACCACCATTTGGGGGGCTGGCAGAGTGGCTCAAGGGGGAGGCCCTGAGTTCAAACCCCAGTTCCACCAAAACCCAACAAAAAAACTGAGGCAGGCAAGAATTAGGGAAAGTTTGGGACTTACACGACTTAATATTGTGTTTCAGGTTGAACATTCCTCTTTCTTGGAGCCTTCTTTTCAGCTGGAAACGTGTGCAGGTTTATTCACTCCCTGGCCCAGGGGCCACCCATGCCCCTTCCCCAATTATTGACGGTTAGGAATCACCCTTCCTGTAGGCTAGCAGAGAAAGACTCTGCTTCCAGCTTCCAATATGCCTCCTCCCTAACTTTTAATAAGCCCCATTACACCCACATGTCCTGCCACGGGGAACCCAAAGCATTTGGCAATCTTTTGACCAGAGACGACGTCACTGCCATCAACACAACCACTCATCATTTTTTGAGCCTCTTCTCCCACTCTGGCATTTCAGGAAGGTGGGGCTCAGTTTCTTTTGTTTCTTAACCTCCCTACATTACCCTGTTTTATTAAACCCCGTGAAGTTCCCATCAATTGCCAGGAAACTGGGAAGCTAAGTAGAGAGATTTTTCCCCTCCTTTCTCCTCAGGAAAATCCTCCGTGGGTTTTTCCCTTCTCCAGTAACAAAAGTATGTAGCCCTTCAACCCAGAGCAGAGGAGAGGCTGGACCATGAGGACCCCAGACCCCAGAAGGGCTAGTGGCTTCAACTCTTGGCCTCATGACACCCAGTGCTCGGTTGTGGAAAGAATCACAAATTAGTGTCACTTGGAAATGAGGCAGGAGAGACGAGGAGACAGGAAAATTATATTACTTCAATAAATATTTAAAGGGCCACACTCAGGTACCACCTATCGCCCCTGAGTTTTGGGTGGACCTAGGTAATAGATCCACACTTAGGCACACTTACAGCTTGGGTACTCAGAACCACCGTTTAATGATTTAGGGTTGCTAGACTTCTGACGATGGGCACTTCCTCATCCCAGGACAGTGTAAGACCATACTGAACCACCACTGAGTATTTGCTCTCATTTCCTACGTAGGGAAATGTTCCTCCCACCCCCAAGTTTATCCTGTGATACCAAAATAAATCCTTGCAAAACGTCTACCTTGTAAGACCTCCTTGTTGTGAGGTCTTGTGTACACCTTGAAATACTTTTCATGTTTGTGGGTCTTAAGGACCTGTGATTTTGTGTGGAAATAGGGAAGCTGTAAGAGCCCCCTCATCCCTGGTCTGTGGTCTTCTGAGCTAAGCAGTGAAAGGCTTTTACACTGAGGTCAGGATACAGGGAGCACTGTCCACAGGAGGGCAGCTGCCAGAGCTCCCCATAGGAGCGACTCCCATCTTCTTTCTTTCCCTCGCTTTTGAATACTCTAGGGATAAAACATGCTCTGGCTGCCTGCAGCCTCAAAGGCGGCTCTGCTGGGTGCCCAGAGACTTCTGCTAGGTTGGCTGAGCCAGGTCAGGGACACTGCATTTGCAGTCTTCAGAGGCCCAAGCTGAGCAGCCATGGTGACCCCTCAGCTGGGCACTGTTCTCAGGACCCCAACACACACAACTCCTGGTGAGCTGCAAACAAGGGCTGACAGCAGAGTGGATCAGACTCCACCATGGTCCCACACACTCTCCCAGAGTCTTGGGACCTGTCTGAGAAACAAGGATCCTGCATGGGCACCCAGACCCCAGAGCTGCTTCAGGCCTGTCTCTACCCGTCCCTGTTCTCACCACCCATAGCAAGAACCTCACAGGGCTATGTTCCTGTGGGATCAGACCTCAGTGTAGTTTGAAAAGGGGAAGTGGGCAGGTCCAGTGAAGTCCCTGGGGCAGATGGCTTGGGCAGTGCCCCTGTGTCCATCCTGGCCTGTTCTTCCCATAGGCTCCAGAACAGGTGCCCCACACAGAGCTGCAGCCTGGGCTGTTCCTGCCCAGGTTAGGCTACAGCACCCTACCCCACCAGGCTGGCCAAGGTACCCTTGGTTCTCATACCCCCTTCCTGACCCACCTCGCCTAGGGCAGGACAAAGTGCTTGGCCCTTGGCTGGGTTCCTTTATGGATCTCTTAAGGTGCTTGCTGGCTGTGGCTTGGGTCTGCACCAAGATCCTGTGAACCTGGAGCCCTCTTTTCTCCTGCATTATGACCCTGCTGGGAGGGGGGCAGGGCAAGGACAGCAGGCAGGAAGGGATGAAAACACCTTTTATTTGAGGCACCAAAGTAGCAACAAGGTGCCACTGTGGGCAGAGGAGGGGACAGGTAAAGGAGGGATAGCTGGGGATTCAGCTGGATGGGGGAGGGGGTCTAGACCTAGAAGCAATGGTTGTCCCCAAAAGGGTACCCCTGAAGTGAGTGCAATGTGGACGTGGATGCAGAAATGCTGGAGAAGGGACTTTGGTGGAGCTGGGGGCTCTCTGGGCTGCCACCACTGGGCCCTGGACTCTTCCTGGTCTTCCTTCCCACCATAGCACTCACGTGACCTCATACCCGCACGTGGACAGCATGCCCACCCCACACATTCATAGGCATACACTCCCCATTTTTGGCACAGCCTGCCTGGGGCTGGCAGGTTTGGGGCTTAGGTGTCCCTTTCAGTGTGTCCCATGGGACTCAGTCTGGACCCTAGGACCCTAAGACTTCAGGGGGACTCTCATCCCCTCCCTGGTCCCCCAAGGAAGGTGACATGATTGACCCAAGAAGCAAGGGCTGCTGGTCCCACTCGGGGCAGGGCAAGTGCGGGTATGGGTTGTGGCCTGGCTCTGGGGACCCCGGGCCCAGTGGCTGGGAATAGGCACACAGAGGAGCTGGAAGGTCCAATGGCCTCCTAGAATCTGGAAGGGACTGGGCTTTCTTCCTGAGCTTAGGGGATGTGGGGGTATGGGGTCTGGGAGGTCAGGGGCCCAGCCGCAGCACAGCTGACAGCAGGCTAAGCAGAAGCCCGATGCCCAGCAGTGGGGCACTGGTTTGAGGTCCCCCACCAGCCGCGCTGATATTGCACAGGAAGCTCTGGCAGCACTTGGTGCCCACAGATGCCACACCAACGTTGATGCTCGGGCCAGGACATATGGGGGAGCAGCCCTTGTTCAGGGTGTAGCCCAAGTTCATGTTCCCTGCATGAAAAACGAGGCTGTGAGGGCACAGACAGATGGGCCACAGGAGACAGGATGGTTCCTGCTGAGCCCTGGCCCAGGGCTGGGGAGATAGTGAGGTGGGGACAGCAGGGGCCGAGGCCTGGCTGCTTCTCGCTGACACTTACCAATGCCGGCAGCAGCAGACACGGTCACACAGTAGTTGTCGGAGTCAGAGCAGACGGTGGGTTTCAGGCAGTAGAAGTTGCTCTTCTGATTGGTGCAGGAGAAACACACGAGGGAGTGGGCTGTGGGAGAAGGGGCACACTGCAGGTGACACCTGTCCCACGCCATGGGACGCCTTCCAGGCCGGGTCCCCGACACCCGGTCCTCGGCAGACGTTTATGGAGCAACTACTATGTGCGAGGTGGTGGGCTTGTGACCAAAACAAGACAATGACAAATGACCTCCCAATGTGTGAGTGGGCTAGCCTTGAGGCTTCTATTATGAGCAGGGAAAGGAGCAGCCAGTCACTTCACTGGGGGAAGAAAGACCCAGAAGGTTGCATGGGAGCTGGCCTAGAAGGACCCCTGGGCATCTGTCAGGGTCCAGGGGAGGAGTCCAGGAAGGAATGGCCCCCACAAAGGTCTGGGGCCCCAGAGCATCACACCTTGCTCCACACCCAGAAGGGCAGCCAGCAGCACTGACAAGACGACTCTCATGCTGGAAGCGACAGGATAAGATGTTGCTCTGTTGGTCCAGTTGATGGGCTCACAAAACCAGATGCTTGTCCTGCTGTGACAAACTCAGTGTATTAGAGGGCTAGGCTGCCCACCTCTCACTCAGGGTCCTGAGTTGGGTCCAGGCTGCTGAGCCCTTGGGCTGGGGTCTGTGGCTTTGGGTGGAGAAAGCTGGAGACAGGACCAGCTGGGTTTCCTTTCCATCTTGCCAGCTGCGAGATGTAGGAGGAGGAGTCTGGTGCCTTCTGCCAGGAAGGCCCTGGGCGGGGGAGGGGCATTTTAGGGGCTGAGGAGGAATTTCAGGGAGCACAGCTCTAGGAAGTACTGTTGGAGACCCTGAAGGAGCTAGCAGCAGGTCACACCCTGAGAATGGGCCCTAGGCCTCTCCTGTCCAGCCCTGCACCTCTGCTGATATATTGTGGTGGGATGCACAAATCCCCAGTGAAGACCAGTAAGGAGCCCAGCTGGGCCTGTCCCTGCCTCCAGGCAGCCCAGGAACATAGGATTCTCCAATTTGCCCTAGGAGGCTCTGGCATGCACAAACAGGTCCAGCCAGCACCCAGCGGGCCTTACTTGACTGAGTTAAGTCACCCTCCACAGCAAGCCTGACGCTCCTGGTTGGGTAAAGGAGGCCAAAGAGAGCCAGCAGGCTGTGGGGCAGGGCCACCTGGGAGCCGGGTAGAGTCACTACTCCTCAGCCTCACAGAGCTGACTCCTGGGAAAGCCAGGCATCTCGTGGCTGCTGGGCCAGCAGGAGAGTAGGAGCCTGTGCTGCTCTCCAGGGATGGCAAGGGACTGGACCAGGTGGCTCCCTCATTGTCGCGCACAGTCTAGTCCAAAACAAGGAACTCTCGCCCACTTCCCGAGGGCATGTTTCAGACCCCCAGGACAGTCAGTCCATCGGGACAGTTAATTCTCCCCTTCCTGCCCATGACTCCCCAAGACTCTGCGCCCCCTCCTCTAGTCTCGGAAGATGTACCTCCCCAGACCCCACGTTAGGGAGCACCGAGGGATGGGTGATGGGCCCCAGTGGCCGCGCAGTCCCCAGTCACCCGGGGAAGGCGCCTGACATGGGTCTTCGCCAGCTCCTGCCCCAGATCTTCAGATATATTCGGAGACGGCCGGAGGATGGGAGTAGCGAGCGGCTCACCCACTGGCGATCCCCGCCCGACTCCCAGCCTCCCCAAACCCTCTCCTGCGCCTCCTCCGTGCGCCCACCGTGCGTCCACCTCGCTCCCTTCCCTCCCCTCCCCCGGCCCCGGGCCTGCGGCCCCCGCGCTCGGGGCGCATGGCGGCCGCGGCCAGGTCCCCGCTCCTTGCATGGGCGCCCCGGGCCCACGGACTCACCGCTCGACGGTCGCGGCCTGGAAGAGCTCCCCGAAGCTGGCGCACCGGAGACCGCGGGAACCCGGAGACTCGCACGCAGGCCCAGCGCGGCTGCCGGAGCTGGAGCGCGAACGCGAGCGGGCGGGGCCGGGGCTGGGGCTGGGGGCTGGAGGTTGGGGCTGGGGGCGGGGCCAGGGGCGGTTCCTAGGGCCGGGGGCGGGGCCCGGGCGGCTGATCCCAGCGGAGGAGGACAACCTTGGCTGTCGGCTTCCGGGAATCCTGGCTCTGGAGCGTTTGTGCCGCTACTCTTGGACTCTAACGTGAGCCCGAGGCCACCTGGCGGCCATCCCCAGGTCCCACTCAGAAGAGGGGCTGAGACCTCCCTAAGCCCCTCAGCAAGGTGGTGCCTGAGCCCAGCTGGGTCTCTTTCCACTCAGCAAGACCCTGCACCCAGGCGGTCCTTCTTGTTCTTCCGCAGGACAGACCTGTCAGGTTGGTCAGGAGGCCAGATCAGTATGACAGTCACTGACACCAGGACCTGTGGGTGGGTCCTACTCCAGGGCCGGCCCTGGGCCCCAGGCTCGAATCCGGCAGGCCCGTGGGAGGAGGGTTGTGTGTGTGTAGAGGCAGAGGATGTCCCATTAAAGTGCCCTGCCCAGGTTCCTGAGGACATCTGGTCCCTGCTGCTGCCTCCAGGTTGAGCTGTTTTGTGGGCCACAGGGTTGGAGAATTGGGGTGGGGATTCTGGTTTCTGTGGCCAGCAATGGTACTAGTTTGACATTAGAAGAGCATAGGAGGCACCCCCTCCTCCCTCTGGACACAGGGCTGCCTCCTATGCTCCTGGGACATGGGCCAGGACCCCCAGCCCAAGATGGACAACAGACTCCTGTGTGTTCCCTCCTGCAGTCACCCTTGATAAGAACTGCCCCTTCTGCAGCCTAAGCCACAGCTGGTGTCACCCCTTGCAGAACAAAGCCCACTGTTCCTTATCTCCCACCCCCTCCCTTTGCCCGCCCCTAGACCTTGCTCCTGCAGCTGGTCTCATCCTTGGCAGATCAAAGACCATCCCTTGCCCTTGCTTTCTCCCAAAATGCTACTTAAGATCAAACTGGCGGAAAGAAGTTGCTGTGCCATTTTCTCTAGGCCAGCCAGTCTGCTTATTAAACTTTTGGACATGAGATAACTCTTATGAGCCTCCTTTGTGTGCGGTGTGCGGCGTTTTCCTAACAACCCTAACCTGTTCCTCTCTTACCAAAACCTGTGTCACCCCAGGGAGGAGACCTCTGCCTGGCCTTGGGTACCAAGTTTGAGATGTTGTGGCAAAAAAGAAATTTTAGGACACATGGAAGTACAGCCCAAGAAGTTTATTAATAAAGCAAAGCAAAGGAAAGCTAGGAAGCTAGTACACAGCCCAGACAGGGGTGCGGGCACATCTGGGAACAGGTGCCACGAGTGCCCTAACGTCAGGGGTACTTATGGTGAAAAAGTGAGTTGGGGGTTTGGCTCAAATTTGCCTTAGGAAAAAGTGTTCCTCTTTGTTTTGACACCTGCTATAATTAGCGGCTTTTGCTGTTACATTGTCTTGTCAGTTGGACCCAAAGACATAGGCGTTTGGACATCCCTTTAAACAAAGAATGGACCCTGCCAGATGCTCCCTTCAGGACAGCATAAGTATTTTTCTTTGTAGACACTTTTTGTGCCCAGAAGAGTCACTTCTCCCAAGTTCTGTCCCAGGATACGTGTCTTTCTTTAAGCTATTTTTGCTCGATTCTCAAAAGTACACAATTATTTTTGGGCACATGGGCAAGGTCAAAGGGAAAAAGCTGCTCTTTTTCCTTTTTCTTTTCTTTTTAGTAAATGTTACAGTTTATTGAAGGAGTGTAAAACAAAGAAAGTAGTATCTATGTGTTTAATCAAGCATTGATTAGTACAATGCTAATTTGTAAATTCCCGGCTGCTGTTTCCCATGCCTCAGTTTTCCCAGATCCAACACAGGAACTGAGGCCCTATTAGAATTAATCCTCACCCCTTCACCTGCCCTCTCACAAGTGTCTTTCATGCATTCTGTCTTCAAGTGCCCATGCCTGATGTGTGGGGGCCCTGCAACCCCACCCTGCCTCCTGCTTCTGGATGACAAGTAGAGCTGGGGAGGTTACTGTACCAGGCCCAAGGCAGACAGGCCCTTCTGCCTGGTAGGGCTGTTTGCCTCTCCCCTTTGACCTCTCCTTCCTGAAGAGCCCTCCCCAGGGCATTGGGAGAGGCTGAGTCTCTTGCCACCTGCTTTTCTGACAGTCACACTTCACTCTGATGCACATTTCCACGGAGCAGTGCAACTGATCTTTTTCTTAGCACTTCTGGGTCCCAGGCTAAGGTGACAGCAAGAGAGGGCCCCAGAGAAGGGGCTTCTTAGCTCCACATCCAAGGGAGGGCAGGAGGAAACACAGGTGGGCCATGAGGCAGAGATACTCTCTAACAGGAGGCCAGCTGTGGGGGCAAGCTTAGGGGCACATTCAGTTGTGTGTGTGAGTGGTGTGTGTATGGTGTATGGTTGTGTGTCTTCAGAGTTTGGGGATGAGTCAGCTCCTTGCTTGGTTTCCAGGGGATACTCTCTCACAGGGTCCTAGGATAAATCAACTTGGTAGGGTTTCTGGGGCTCATTTCTTAGGGACTAAAGATGGAGATCTGTGTGTTACACGATGTCTAGGCTGCAATGTGTTGACACCTGTGGGTCAGAGTTGCACAGCTTTGGGATGGTGCCCCAGCTGTCCCCAGGACAGGAGACATCCAGTAAGCAGTGGCCAGGCTGTCACTGTGCACCTGGGTCTTGACTATGTGCCCATTCCCTGGTCCCACTTGGGGGTAATATAGGCAGGAGTGGGCGATGCTGGCTCATGTGTTCTATCCTTAGAGAGTCTTTTCTTGTATTTAATTTTAACTTTGGATTGTTGCAGTGTTCTGGAAGCCCTCCCTGGCCCATCTACCCAGGAGAGAATGTGATGAATTTTCCCATGAGGGGTACCCACATTCCATCTTGACATTTCCTTCAAATTTCTGTTTTTGCTACTTGCTTAGTGTGTCTCCACTTGAGTGGCAGCTCTCCAGGGCTTGAGAGCAGGGGACCTCACTGTGTGTCCGGCACCTGGAATCATGCCTGGCCCATGACAGGTGCCCAATAAGTATTTGTGGGAGGAGATCATGGTTCCCCACTCAGGGCAGGATCCTCTGAGTTGGAAAACAAGCCACATTAGGAGGGGCCCTCGTGATTCTGGATGTCCAGCTCAGAAAGTATCCCTAGGCCACTGCCCTGTACCAGCCATGAGGCTCAGGCTATAATAGATACCTAGAAACTGCTTTTGCTGAAAAGCACCGAGTCCTTATGTGAACCCAGGAATTAACTAAAAACAGGAGGCAAGCTTGGCACCTCTACCTCCATTCTGTATGTCTTTGCTCTGAGACATTCACTTTGCGACCGCCTTGGATCCTGTCCTCAAGGAAGCGAATGGCAGCACCTCCTCAGGACTGACCACCTGCGGGGCAGCAGTGACTTACTTGTCCTGACCAGATCGCTCCTTTCAAGGGATGATAGCAGTATCATTGATATCGATCAGTCAGGCCGTAATTTGTCCAGGACTGTCTAATAAGTATGTGTGCCTTTTGCCCTCTGCCTCAACTCTTCCCCTATTTAAACCGAAAGCCCACATGTGTACGGTGAAGATGGGTGAGTGCTTGCTTTGCCTCTTTCCAAGGTGTGCCCATGCTGTGTAATAAATCTCCTTTCTGTGCCCTTTACCACTGCTTACCTCTCTGCTTGGTGTGCTGGGGTGAGTGGCTACACCTGATGCGTAGAAACCATGGAGTTTGGGCCTTGGACCTAAAACTCTGGTTTCAAGACTTCTTTGAAATACGGTGTCTAGAGGATCCTGGCGTACGCAGCCTGCTCGAGGTGTGTCAGTGCTCGGTGTCAGGGTGTGTGTGACGGGATCTGGCTCTCTTGATGGCATGCATAGTTGGTGAGTGTTGGAGCAGTGAGTGAGCAGGATAGATTAGCCTGCTGGACTTACAGGAGGGGTGCCTGACATTGGGGTCCATGTTTTACAAAAGAAGGACTCTAAGGACTTGACATATCCAGGGGTTACCAGCCAGAGTGAGAGTCTGGAGTGATACTGAGGGAGTTTTGGTAATGGGCCATCCCAGCCGCACAGGACCCACTTGTGTTCCGTCCTTTAACCCGTGACTCCAGAAGTCCACCTCTTACCCACTGTGTGAATGGTCAGGTCAGTCTGTCCTTTCACAAGTTGGTAGCTGTCCCTTTCTGCTGGTGGCACTTTCCTTCTCATGTAACCACCCCAGGGCTGTCCAAGGCTATGTGTGAGGTCTTGCCCATCCAAACCTGGGATCTGACCTGTGTGGCCAGTGGCCTCTTCTGTGTACTTTATCCATGTGTCCTCAGCACCCAGGCTGATCTTGGGATTGGAAGATTCAGTCTCCTGCGTGGCTTGGGACAGCTGTTCAAGGCCTGCCCTCTGCACAGCCCCCGCACCCCCAACCTCTAACCAGTGCTGTTTTCCATTCTCAGGGTGGGAGACTCCATGGAGAGTCCCATAACGACACTTCAGATATTGGGGTGAAGCAGCCCTGAACCCACCAGCAGGGGCATCTGGACGCCTGGGCCTGGTATGTCCACCCTTATAGCGTGAACATGACAGAAAATCAAAGTGTCTTCATTTCTTTGGCTGACAATGGCCATCTGTGATATGACTTGGACTGGAGTCCTGTGGCCACTGTGAGCCTATCTCATCCCATGGGATTCTAGACACATGCACTTTGATGGTGGGGTCTGCCAGAACCTTCTGTTCTCTCACTGGTACAGAAACACCCACCTCAGTGGGCCCCTGGCACCTGAATTCTTCCCTGGGGAGGACAGGATGACCCATCCTGGGATGCTCGTCTCAGGACAGAGGGCAGAGATTTCTCCTGTCTTGAGCTCTGGGCTACCCAGTGTAATCAGTTTTTTTCTATCTGGACAGCTCCTGTCTGAGGATGTAACTCTAGCACTTCTTGTGTTTCAGAGTCCTGTGACTTTCTGCAGATAGAATGCGATCTCCTGAGGACTTCTGGAAGG